TTTTTTTTTTTTTTTTTTTTTTTTTTTTTTTTTTGTTTTTTTTTTTTCTTTTTTTTTCTTTTTTTTTACAGGCAGCTGCCTACACACATAATAAAAGAACAACCGAGAGACCGAGACTCAGGTCTCGCGGCGTAGCGACGGCTCGTTTTTATTTTAATTTATTTTCCGGTTGAAAATGAAATTGTAACTATTTTGAAACATTCCGGGTTTTGTTTATCCTTTGTACTTTTTTTGCAGCCTTTTCCCCAAATTAAGTTGTTCTTTTATTATGTGTATTTTGGCTGATTAAGTTGTTTTTCATTCTGCCCACACACAGTTTATTAGAGGTTTCCGAGAAATTTCCGGAATGATCTAAACTAAAATCACAAAAAATTTCGACGCGATATTTTCGTTCGTCCTGGTTTTTTTTTTTATTTTATTTATTAATTTATTCATTATTAAACCAAATTTAATATTACGCGAATCAAGTTTCATAATTGCTGCCTTGTTTTAAAATCGTCCGAGTTTCTGAATCGTTGCAATTAAGATACATATTTACCCTTTAATTGTGGTAAAAACCGAGCTGGAACCGTCAAAAGAAATGACTCATGGTCCTAGTTATGGGGCGATTTTAGAGTCACTCAAGCCAGGAAAGATAGCGCAATCGAGTGTCGAGTCATCTTCACAGTGTGATGCGCCTTCAATCCAGTTAGCGGCAATGTGCCTGTACCCGTGGTCGAATAGTTATCACAAATGACTCTCGCATTTGCGCTTGATGCAATGCGAGAAGTATTCATGCAGTCTTGTAGGCGCTAATATGCGCCCGACGCCGACCGCACTGTTTGGCGCAATGCGTGAAGTATTCCTACAGTCTTGCAGGCGCCAATATGAGTTTGACACCGACCACACCGTGTTCGGCGCGATTATTCGAACTCACGTTAGGATAATCACGGCATCGAGCTATGGGGCTTAAAATACTCATGTTGTGTCTCGACGCCGCATGCGCAGTCCACCGTTGCCTCGTTTCTCCAGATAAAATATTTTTTCTGAGAAAAGTTACGAAAGTTTTCTATGTTCGCTTTTTAGCTTGAATGGGCCATTGAACAAGTAACGAGTTTAAGCATTCTAATGTATATGATTCTTCAACAGAATTTTACGCAGAACATGATTCTCGCAACGAAATCTACTGAGATCAACTAGTCTAGCTAAGATATTAACATATTTACTGTATATTGGTTACGGGAACTTTTAATTGCCCGGTCACAAGAAAAACAAAACCCTACGCGAGTCAAATTGCACACTACAACGGCTTTAGCAGACTACTCATTCGAGCCTTGTTTCTTCCCCACACTGTGCTGTTCAAAGTATGTACAGCTTGAACTTGGCGTCAAGATGGAGGTTGCCATATTTTCATATTACTGAGACTGTCATAGTGACGTTTGAGGGGCAATTGAACCCAAGTAAATTATTCCTTCTTCCATGAGCAGAAAAGGTTGAACTTATTCATTAAAAACGTCATTACCACGGTTAGGAGTTAATCCAGGGTTAGGATTTCGATCCCTCGAGTTCGACGTTGAGCGATCAATATCCTCGTTGCCAATTGGTGTTCACACCGCGAGCCTGCAATCCTATGGGATCGAAGGATTGTGAAAAGTTTCCTGCTTTTCGTTCACTATTTTGTTAATCTTTTCCAATGAAAAAGAAACTAACCATATATAGCCTGAAATATATACAGAATATTCTGCCGAAGGAGAAGAAAAATTAAGATCCTTTTAATACATTATGTTGAATATGGCTAGGAGACTGCCTCTGCAACGTTGCAGAAGGAGATCCGTGGCTTCCCACCAAGACCAATCCACACAGGTCAGTCATTGCGCATCTTTTTGAAAGCCACTTCCCCGCCCGGCCCTAACTCGGCTGCACTCAATAGTACGTCACAATGGGTGCTCCCATAAGAAATACATTGCAAGCACTCAATAGTACGTCACTGCGCAGTAGAGTACCAAAACTCGTTCACGGGAATGACTGACCTGTGTGGATTGGTCTTGCTTCCCACTTTGATCATGTACATGATCTTTGACGTAAAATGTTGAGGCACATCCTCCGAAAATCCATCGCCCATGGCGATTTCCATGACGACAATCGCCTCGGACAGCCAAATTAACAGCTGACCGAAAAAAACTCGCACGGGAAAAACGAAAAACCGCGCATCTCCCGGCGGGACCAACGGGATATCCGATTTGTCCAAGGGCGCAAGGGGAGCCGAGCCCACCGGCCGATCCCTATATTTTTCCTACCGTCGGAGGACCGGGACGGTCGAGCCGGTACCACCCGCGCACGGATCGGTCCGGCGGTTCGCGCTGAATTTTTACGCAGAGAAAAGGCTTATGGAATTATATATGGTGATGATGATGACTAGGGGCCTGAGGCCGCTGCGCGGCCGCTAAACACTCAAAGGGAACTGCTCGTACGAAATCATAGAACAACCACGTTCAAGTTATTTATTATAATTGAATACCTAGCAACTTGAATTGACAATAAATTTTGAAAAAAGATATAACACACTCTGAAATTTTGGAAATTGAAATTGGAATTTTGAATTTATCATCATTTATTAACAATTTAAATTTATAATCTTGAAAAATTAAATTAATCCGGAAAATAATTTCGGACTTTTAAATGTGAAGTGCCAGTATTGTGATGCCATGCATTTCAAAAAAGAGGAGGTGAACGGTCATTTTAACAGATGTTGTCATAATGGTCTTCTCAGACTTGCAAACCATGGAATCAATGACAAACTTCGCGACCTCTTCTCCAAACCCATTTTCATGAGCAACATTTTGAGGTACAACAGTTGTATGGCTTTTGCATCTCTGTCAGCTTCCAAAGCTCATATAATTTTGAACCAAATCTTCTGCTATCGAAAACGAAAAATCATGGAGAATTTAAGTTTTATGTTGACCAGCTTCTCGAAAGAGAAGTAAAATTTCTGAGGAAGTCTGCAACGTCGCAAAAGGAGAAACCTTCATCTCTCATTTTGCCCAAAAATGTGTATGAATAAAATTGAAGACATTATGACTGGCCTCTCTCAACTTATATTCGTATGTAACGATGAACAATGGGACGCGTTTGCTACGGCGCCTTGATACAACTATACAACCTCGACGGATGTCCGTATTGCGTTCGAAAAATTGAAGGCGTTTTGACCTCCTACGCATAATACCTGTAGTTGATTCGATCGACAAACGCGTTGGTCGGCGGTGACGGGGACTTGATGCATTTTTTTAAACTTGATGAATGTCCGTATCGCACCGACTAAAGTGCGAAACCACGTGTCTCCATTGCGGTGTTTCAAAATTTCCGTCCTTAATTACCTGCAGATATGTTACCAATCATACACTTTTGCAGGAGTGCAGAATCTTCCAAACTTCCACATTTTTCACGCACCCGCCCGCAAGCTTTCCAAATTTTTTTGCATCGGTTTTCCATAAAATTTCGAGCCAAGTTAAGAGAAAACGACCTTTTTCTGTTTTTTGTTGACTTGATGCTGATGATCCTTCAAAATTTTCCCTGGCCCCACATTTTGGTTTCTTTTCCACATTTCCGCCCAGGCGGGCGCGTGATCGGGCATTTTCTGCACCCTTGCAGTTTTGCACACAGGTACTTTTCTTAGTTCTCAATAGTTTGCGTAACGCTATCCAGTTTACCTATCCTTTCATTTTGTAGCCTTGGCGGTGGGGAGCGTTTAAAGACACGGCAAACCCGGTGATCCAGCTATTCAACGAGATCGAACGGAAATGTTGGACGAACTTACCTGACCAGAAGACCTGGTGGGAGTGCGACCTTTTCCTGGCTTGCGGCATGATCAACCCGGCCGTGTTTCGGACCAATATCACGACGAACGCTCGCGTCGAAACGACCGGCCCCAGGGTGGGATTCATCGTCGCCGACGACGCCCAACCGCACAACGTCACCATCGTCACCAAGATCGACAGCGATATCCTCATGCAGGAGGTCCTTCAATCGGCCGAGATCATCCAGCCGGCACCCGCCTCCTCCAGCTCGGGTTAGATTTTATCTTTGGGATTACCAACCATAGAGTACAAACCAACGTCTTGAAGCGCCTTCGTTTTTGGGAGTAGGCAAATTGCGTTGAGAAATAACCGAGAGAAAAAATAGGGAGGTTGAGCTCTTGCATGAGACAGGATTTGCGATTTCAGTGATTTTTCTTGTGAAAAATTTTGCGAGACACTCGATGATGCAACTGGTTTCTTTCTGAAACGAACTCCCAAGTTCAAAAAAAGCTCTCAACGTTCAAGCCGTAATGGAGAAGATCCCCCTCGCTACGCTGAAAGTCCATCTCTACAGGGTGTCCCAAAAGTCCGTCGACCCCCCCCCTCGTAACTTTTGAACGGTTAGAGATAGAAAAACGAAACTTTGGGAATGTTTCTATCTAAAAGGGGTCCCCCCTTAAGATCTTAAAGGGTAACCCCTATCTTGTGATATATCATTAGAAAGAGCATAAAACACTAAGAATTTTGGCGCAAACTGCAAATCAATATCTTAATTTTTGACCGAGTTAGGATCAAAAAGGTGAAATGGCCAAAGGTTGCAAAGGTCAAATTTGACCTATTATCAAAAAATCATATCTCCGGTTCAAATTATCGTAAAGAAAAAATAAAACGGGAAAATTTACCATATTGTAAGCACTTTCAAGTAAAAATCACAGTAATTACTTCAAACTAATTTTAAGGGGGATTTCGGACCCCCAACTTCGTCATTTTAAAGGTCATACGATATTCTCGCGAAATGAGCCAATTTCCCCTTCCTTTTCTCAACATTATCTTAGTAAGTTCAAAATTAGTTCAACATTGCGTTTTCAAGTCCCCAAATTTCGAATAAAGTTTTAAAAAAAAAGAAATTTAAATGGTTGAATTGAATCACCTTAAATTTCGTTTTTTGAACTTTGCTCGAAATTTGGGGACTTGAAAACGCAATGTTGATAACTAATTTTGAACTTACTAAGATAATGTTGAGGAAAAGTAAGGGGAAATTGGCTCATTTCGCGAGAATATCGTATGACCTTTAAAATGACGAATTTGGGGGTCCGAAATCCCCCTTAAAATTAGTTTGAAGTAATTACTGTGATTTTTACTTGAAAGTGCTTACAATATGGTAAATTTTCCCGTTTTATTTTTTTCTTTACGATAATTTGAACCGGAGATATGATTTTTTGATAATAGGTCAAATTCGACCTTTGACCTATCATAACTCGGTCAAAAATTAAGATACCTATTGATTTGCGGTTTGCGCCAAAATTCTTAGTTTTTTATGCTCTTTCTAATGATGTATCTTAAGACAGGGGTTACCATTTGAAAAAAAAAAGTTGGGGGCTCCCGTGCCCCCCCTTCTGAGGGGAGGACAAAAATGTTGACCCCCCTAGAAGATGGACCTCTTTAAGATAACATCCCCAAAGTTTCATTTTTCTATCTCTAACCGTTCAAAAGTTACGAGGGGGGGGGGGGGGGNGGGGGGGGTAGGTACGGACTTTCAGGACACCGTGTATATTTAGTCACCTTCACCATATTCTTGAGGCGTCACTCTTATTTTGAGCTAAGCAACTATTTTAACTCTCCGGATCGCAAACTGTTTACTCGTAAAAATGAAGGGGCTTGAAAAGGCAACCATTACGTCGGGTTGTCGCTTTGAATAGCTGCGTCAGTAATGATTACTGCGACACAGTTGATTTCACAAAGATGTAGGTACGCAGACGATCAAAATGTTAGGCACGCGACCTATTATGTTTGTTTTGATAAACAAGGTTTTATTTTTTTTTTGTATTGCGCCAATTTCTTTATCATGCCTATTCTAAGGATATATTAAGTATATTGATTTTTTTCACTCATAGAGGCAGATACTTAGTTACTTATTTTCGTAGTATATTTCATTATCACTAAGGTTTAACTGGATAATTTACTACTGTTTAATTTGAATTTTGATGGCAAGTCGGCCTCGTCATACTTGGTGCACTTTTTCCTACGTTTTGTTTTAGTTGTCTAAAGAGTTTGAAACGGAACTTCACCAATATTGAAAAAAAATTCCTTTTAAAACCTTCTTTTTTAAAATAGATTTTCCTCTTTTAGTGAAACTCAAAAAGCTGCTTCGATGAATGAATTACCCAACTCGTCCAGCATTTCAATTTTTGGAATTCTGTTAAATTTCTTTCGAATGGGGAGAGGTAGGTAATTCCAAAGGGTAATTCAGAGGTTGAGTTAAGATACTTCTCTGCGAAAAATAAATGAATTAGGATACCTACCATGATCGTTTTTGTAATGTAGGAGTTTTACTGCAATATACTCATCTGAGAGGGTCTGCATATAGATACCTACCTTCAGGCAATATTCATTCCTTTCCTTAAGATTACATTTACATAAGCCCTGGTCTCACTAAATAATTTTTTGTTAGTACTTTAAAATCTTGCCATCAACGTAAACTGGAAATGACTATATATACTTAAGTCTATTTCTGTCAATATTTAGCCGCCCATTAATATTGATGGTCCAGTTGTTATGTCTTTTCCAGTTTGTACTGACTGCATGACTTAAAAATATTGACAAAAAACTTGATGGTGTAACAAGGGCTATAGTTGCTTTATGGACACTTTGTCCTGCCTTTACACAACTTTTCCTTGATCCGCTCTTTAATTTACTTGTTCTTTTTTTTTCGTCTTTTCAGATTCTATCTCTCTTTCCAGCTTGCTTGGCAGGGGACGATCAAATTTTCTTCTTATTCCTATTTCTTTAATCTCATGGTTCTTCCGTACCTATCAGTTCTTTTCATTAATTGTTTAAAACTTCCTGTACCTTTCAGTATCGTTATCTGTCAATCAATTCTCTCACGGTTTTTGTTTTTTGGCAATCTTTTCATTTTTTCTCTTTGAAAATTGAACATTGAGCATATGGTGTATTATTGTATAATTGCCCTTAGATTTAAGTTTTTTGAAGATTTGTTTAAATTCTGAGTGATGATTTTATTTTAGAAATGGAGGAAACCAATTTCTAAATCATCTCAATTTACATTACTTAATGCAAGACTTATACATATCCTGTGACAAATAGATGTAAGATTCACTCCGCAGATTGGATTGTAGTTGAAATCATGTTACTAGCTTCTGATACAAATTAAACATTACTCAAAAGATATCTCTTGATATCTTCTCTTTCCTGACAGTAGGTTAATTTGTTTGTGCATTTTGCGATGAGAAACATTTTGAGGTTAATTTTGAACTCACTGTCCACACACTTTGTAAAACCTTGTTTCTGTTAAAAAAACAAAAGAAAAAAAAACTTGATGAATTCTATAAACTAGAAAATTAGGGAATGAAAAAGATCTGTCACATTGAAAAAAAGAAAGGCCTCAGTTTCCATGACACTCATCATAAATAATTTGTTGTTCTGTCAAAAGACAGCCGAAAGTTTTCTTTGAAGTCTTATCCAAAAACAAGAAAAGACTGCTTCCGCAACAATGAAGGATTAATTTATACACTCAAAAGTCGGCGTTTGTTCATTTTTAAAACTTTATTTTTTAAAGATTTCTTTTAGCAATAAGAATACATTTCATTATAACAGCCAATAAGAACAATTCAGGTGAAGATACAGATAGGGTACAATTAAAAATAACAATAACAAAGTAGCAATTCATGCTACAATAAACAATATTCAAATAACTGTACATAACAAAAAAGAGGCTGAAATTAATCAATTCCAAAAAAAAGAAAGAAAAGAGAAAAAAACCACACAGCAATGCGCACTCACCTGCAAAGTGCATACCTACAATAAAACTTAAGAGTTGACTAAGAAATGCAAGAAGCTAAATGGATTCCAGAGTCTCATTTTTGATGGAGGTAAATGTAAATTTCATAAGTGTTCAGGGACAAGTAAAAGATCACACCCTACATCCTTCAGTTTCCTTTGTGAGACAAATAATGCATTACAGAGAAACTACCCTTGATCTGTTATTTTAAGCAAGAATGTCATACTTAACTCCATTGAAGATGTAAAAATCAATTTTTAGAAAAAAAATTCTATTGTAAGAAATCCTAACCGCACTTGAACTTTATAATTTCAATTCAAAATTTATGAGATATAAAGCAATCATTCAGAAAAAAAAGGAGGAACGTTTCCTAGTTTTTCAATGATCGAGTACTTTTTAGCATAAAAATGTAAAAAATCTAAAGCAGAGTTACAGAATTTTTGCATTGGAGGGCAAACTGATAGAGACATCCTGGAAAACTGATAGGGACAAAAAATAATAGCCAATTACATTCAAGTTAATTTCCAGCATCAGGCAATGTTTAGTGATTGTTAAAAGGTGGTATTACAAAGAAGACGAGGGGTTATGGAATCATCATTAATTAAGTTCCATTACAATTTTTTTTGTCAAGATATTCGTCCAGATTCCAGTATTCAGAAATCTTAGCACTATCCTCTAATTAGTAGATAAAGAATTTTAAGCTCAAACGGTTAAATTCTCTTATGTCCTTATTTTTTCAAATGTTTTAGCCCTTTAAAATAACAGCTGCAAAATTAACTTTTCAATGGAGAATGTTAGAGCTGTTTTGAGAGAGTCCTTAAAGTCCACTTCTTTTTAATCGTATCCCGCTTTTTCCTAATAAAGAGAGTTCGTTCCAAAATATATGGAAGCTTTTTCTAAAAAATGATGATTTTCACGTTATTTTTACAAATCTACAATTCATGTTTATATCTAAAATCCGATTCCTACTCCTAAACTGACAATATGATAATTTTTCTGATATAATAGTTTGAAATTTATGCTTCAACGGCCAGGAGTTGAAATTTTCTCAGTTCAGCTGGTCAATACTTGATATTCAAAGACAATTTCAAAAAAAAATACGACTGTATAACATTCAGAGCAGCATAAATAACTATGAGTACATTTTCTGGGACATTTTGGATTTTTTTATTTTTTATTTATCTATTTATACATTTCTTGCCAATCTCACTAACTCTTGGACTTTTGCACACGAATTTATAAGACCATCAAGGCAAAAATGATAAAACTATCAAGTGCTCGTAAAATGTATGATTGTTTTTGATTTGATAGTCATGATCAAACCACAATTTCAGTCTAGGGAAAAAAGGTGGTTTAGCGAGGAAAAGAATAGTTCTAGCGGTGGAAATTTTAGTAGTCAGACAGATAAATCTGAAAAATCCTTAACCTCAAAGGAATACGCAAAGAAGGATGTGATTTTAACAATTGTTTTGATCAATATAAAAAAAAGGATACTTCACAAGACAGAGAGGAAAATAAAATAGAAGTTCATGTACTAAAATTTGAATGGAAATTTTTAAAGCTGTTGGGGGAGGATTAGTAGTTCTCACAGCCATGAATCTGAAGCAGGAGCTTTAGAAAAAAAAAAAAAAAGAAAAAAAAAAACTTAAAATAAACAGAAAAAATTACATTAAAAATTAAAGGAAGATTCAATAACTATTTTTGCTTCTAAAAATGATTAATGGGACAAAACTAATGATGTAGTTCAAACAGAAACAATGATTATTTCTGATGTAAAATTAAGGGGCTTTACAATTCTGGGTAGGGTCATAAAAAAGAACACAAAATAAATCTTTCTACTCTTTTTTAAGACAATTTGTCCTTTATTTTCAATTCATGTTTCTCATAATTTCTTCATGAATCTACTTATTTTAGATTTGAAGATGTTTTATACTTTTGGTATTGCAGATTAGTATGTTAGTGTTAGCTACACGTCATATATTCATCATGACCTGGCAAAACCTGACCTTAAATGATACAGACTTTAAACACAGGGGATAGTTGTATCTTCCAATTAAGAATCATCCCTTATGTCAAGAAAAGGTAAAATAAGACAGCTCTGATATACTTTTGTGCTTTGCAAGAGAAAATATCACGACAATATCAGTAAAACAGAATCAAAATAGACAAGTTATTTGTCGTTTTGAAGTAATCCTCGATCGAATTTCTATGTCTCATTGGAAAAGAGAAATGACAAAGATAAACATTTTTTCCAACTTCTAATTAACCTATCAAGACTCTGGATTTAATTTTTGGATCCAATTTTTGAAGTTCTGAATTGTAGTGATTGCTTAAGATACAATTCACTGAAAATACACATGTACAGATATATATTAGACATATATTCAAACCAGGATTATTGTGATTCATTGCTTTTGATGTAAATCCTTGGAAAAACACACAAATACAGTGTATTAATCGGACGATGGACAAGAAGTTTTGAATGGTATTTCATTGCATCAAAGAAAAAAGTTTATTTGTTCACTTTTAAAAGGTGGCTCTAAATTAAATGATGCTAAAGAGGTCTTAATATTAAACCAATGACATTAAGATGAAAATCAAACAGAAATGAGGCCAGAAAAATTAATTTCATTTCCTTCACTTTATGCCTCCAATAATTACATGCTTGACAGAGAAGTAGTAAATTGTTTATATTTATGGAGTTTGAAATTATATTTAAACTTATAAAAAATCTTAACTCAAAAAATGTGGATGGACTGAGAGATATTTGTTAAGGAACAGTGAAGCTTAAGGGGAAAGATAGGAAGTAGATTCTTAAAAACAATTTTATTGATCATGAGAGATTTAAAAATGGTTGCAAATGAACCCACCAATAAAAATGCACTTTCATGCACAAGTGCAAACATTGCTCAGTTTTAATGCAGCCTGCTTCAGATTTCGAGAAAGCAAAATTAAATTTTTGAAGAACCACAAAAAACTATCAAAGTTTTGAGGATAAAGATGAAAATTATTGAATATCCTCCAAATAAAACGACTGATGTGCTCTGTCTGGTTTACTTGAACATCTTTCAATGAATCAAAAACGAATCACACTGGTTTAGAGAAAAAACTACTTGACCAGCGTGCAAATTCTTGGAACAGGCACATTACTAAATTCAATTATAATTCACGATAGCTGAGTCATTAAACTGCAGTTAAAAATTACTAACCGTCAATGATAAAAGAAATACAAGACAAATATCCAACTCATTCAGACAACAAAGCATAACAGGTGGATAATATGATTCGCAATGACAAATTAAAACAACGTGAAAAATTACAGGTAAAGTCCTTACACACTAATATTATGAATAAATTGCAGACTGAAGCTATGGCTTAGCATGTGAAAGCAATGCCACCATACTATCAATATAAAATTACTAATTTGATAAACTATTTGCCTAGTAAATTGTGTACTTTGTTTTTTTGCGGTAGGATACAATGATTCTGCCTATTGTTTAAATACCTAGTGTTTCAACCAGTTACTCTGGCTACAAGAATTTCTATCGAGAACCGTGCAGCCAGCGGTACTGATACCCATTCAGACTCAAAGATTGCTGCCAAGAATTATTGTCAAACCATGGACTGTGAATAAAAAAATCAAATAAATTAGAGGGAAGGAAGGAATAATATGTAAAGAAGAAATTAAGAGATAAAATAACTTTAATTGTACATTTTGACTTCATACATATCAACGGTGTAAGTCGGCAATCACATAACCTGGTTGCGACGACACAGAATTATTTTTTAAACAGAAAACTACTCAACGGCAATTCTTTAAAACTGCAGTGATTTTTCTTCTCTGTGCGAGAAATGTTCTGCAAAAACTTCAAGGAATGATGACAATTTGATCTCCTTTGAAAAAATAACATAGAGGCGGAGACTTATAGACACCCCAAACAAGATATGTGATTGCGGACTTACGCCATCGATGTATTATTACATCTCAATAAAGGTAGTAAAAAAGTAGGAAAGAGTTCATTTTGCAAATGACATGGTCACACAAACAAGATCAGCTGCACAATGAACAGCAAGTGACTAAAACAGTACAAAAGTTTGTAGAAAACTTTTTCAAACAAAAGAAACCAAGTAGACCAATGAACAAACTTTCATATAAAACCTTATTGGGGCCAATTCCACGAAAATGAGCCTGAGCATCGCTGATGTCAGGTAAAATGAGGAAAAAGACTAGGATCTTTGTCTTGAAAAGAAGTACCATTTACTAGACACAACACGATCAGTTTATTTGAACTCATAGTAGATCTTAATTTGATTAGAGAGTAGGAGAGTCTACATACCTTTTTTGATTTAGAAGACTGAGTGGACGATGAGATCCCGATCGGCGACAGGAAGCTCTCGCACCTTCATGGAACCATCTGCCCCACAAGAAAAGAGTCGAGCTGCAGCATCAACATGAATTTGAGTGACACCTTGACCAATGTTCTTGAAAAAGCTTGACCGAGCATGCTCACCGACGAAATTGTAGAGTTGATGATGCATTGATAAGCCCCATACCTGAATCAAAATTATCATGAGACAATTACACTGGAAAATTAGAGGGTTATTGAATAGCTTGCACTGGCAAAATTAAAGCTCAAAATTTGATTGGACAAATGACCGACCGCAAGAGAAAGGCCTATAATTTCAAATGAAAAAATAATTGAGATGCTGCCATCGCTCGAAGGGAGAAGGGAGAGTTCTGGTTTTTCCAAGCTGAAAAATGCCAAAAAAATGTAAGAGGAACAATGTCAGAAGACGAGTATTGTAATTTTGTACTTTTCCTCTACCTCAAAACATCACATATACAGACACTCACTGGAGCGTACCAAAATCAGTTTGTACAGGTTTAAAACCCTGAAACTTCAAATATTGGTCATTACAGCACTCTTTGATTTTAAATTATCCCCCCCCCCCCCCCAGGAGTCATTTTTCAGACAAATTCATGATTGTCTGATTTTTAGGAATTTATCACTTTTACACCCCTACCTCTTTCTTCCCCTGCCCAAAAAAGAATTTTGAATACGAGATTCCTTCAAGAAAAATGTTCGGCTTTGCCACTATTGTTCTATAATTGAAGTTTCCTTGTTCTTTGTGACTAGCGCGGATTTCAGCTTCCTTTTAAAAGCTTAAACAAAGTAGAGGGAGGAATATTTCAAGCCTTACTTTTATGTCACCGTCCGCTGAGCCAGTTGTAAAAAACTCCTCGCTGGGATCTAACGCAAGGCACTTAACAGGTGAATCATGTGCCTGGAACTTGTGTCTGATCTGCCGCTGTCGTAAATCGATTATGCAGACATCTCCTTTCTTGCCAGCGGAAATTAAAAGTTGGTGTTGAGGAGCAAACACAACACTGGAGGCACCTTGATCATGGCACAGAAATGCTGAAAAAAAAGAAAATCATCATTAAGGGTTAGATAAAAAGATGTTCTGCTGAGTGTAACCAGATCTATTTTGTTGATTCGACGCTGTTTAACTCATTTGCAGATGGTGGAGGCAAACATGTTCCTCATGACTGTAAGAATAATGTCCATTGCTCAGTATGCACTCAGGGGCTATTCATAAAACATGTGACCCTCTGGAAGGAGGGGGGGGCGGGGGTTGTCAAGGAGAGCGATACACAATTTTGTTTTGGGGTGTTAAAGGATGGTCACAAAAGCATTACAAAAGGAAGGGGTGGCTCGAAAAATTCAAAATTTAGCATTACATTTTTATCAAAGTAGATGCAAAATCTCATGAACTTGCCTAGATAAATAGTGGTTAAAAACGACCGAGGAATTAAGAAAGAATATATACTTTAAGACGTTACATATATACGTTAAAAACGTTCTAAATTCCCAGTCATGTTACATTTTATTTATGTTACCATCCACAGGCATAATTTAGGATGAAATTACAGAATGCAATTTACCAGATGACTTCTGGGTCGATAGACAAGGATGGCAATTAGGTGTCTCAAAGCGTCCTGGCGTGCTGTAAAAGCGACTTGTATGTATGTACCAATCACAGGCAAATAAATCTTGGTTGTCAGATGCAAATGCATTAGGATAAATATTTTCATCAAACCAGGAAAAAATGATGACAAGAGTTTTCAACAGAGACTGTTCAATTAAAATAATATTTCAATGGATAAGTTATGACTAGAAAAAAAAAATTAAATAATTGAACATTTCTCATTGATTTCAATAATATTAGATTATTAAAGCCTAAAATTAAAATACCTGTAACTAATGCCTTCTTCTGCGGTAAGAGAGAATCCCAAAGACAAACACTGCGGCCATCAGATGAATGTCCGGCGGTTGCGACCAAACTACACGATCCAAGGAAAACGAAGTCTGTTGTCACTTTATTATGGCACTGGTAAGTCTAAAGAAAACAGGAAATTTTATAAGGGAATGGTTAAAAACTATTGCAACACACCAAGGGGTAATTTGAATTGATAAACTGGACCATTTCAGACCATTTTCAGGTCTATCTATACTATAAGCTCCGAGACCTCCTAATTTTGCGTAACTGGTAACGCTTAGTTCCAGCGTTCTACGGTCTACCGGGCCGGTTTTCATGATTTTTGCAGCTATCAACGGGCCATTGTCTCTAGATGAGCCAACTCTATTAAGATTTTCAAAATATGACCCAAGTTTTTTTATATTACGTGGTAAAGTTGCGAATTTTCCCATTTAAACAATGTAAATTTGTGTTCTTTGTCATAGTTCATTTGAGCATTCTACCAGGCCGATTTCCATGATTTTTGCGGTTATCGATGGGTGATAGGCTCTAGATGAGCCCGTCTAATCAGATTTTGGAAATAAGACCCCGGTTTTTTTACAATCAAGTTATAAAAGTAGGCGAATTTACAGAATGACCCGCGCCTGCTACCGCTATGCGCAGAAGGTTGCGCAGTGGCCGAGGAGGCTGCGCAGTGGCTGAGTAGCCTCTAGATCAGCTCTACTTATCAACACAAGATTCGCCTTGATCACTTCAAGATGAGCGGTGGCCGAGTCGTCTATGACATCGGAAGTACCCGCATGTCTCAAGATGTGGGTTCGATTCCTGACTCCTCAGCTACTTAGTTATGACCTGATTTTCATAATTTGTTGTTTTACTGCAATGTTTCATTAATCAGTCATTGCAAAACGCGTCCTTTTGACTTCAAAAATTTTTTTTTCTTTTTTCATCAAAAACAAAAATCATTTCATTCCGAAAGTAAAGTATACCTCATATCACAATTTTTTAAGGGAAAAATAAAACCAACATTAATAAGAGGCTAAAAATAGGGCCGCGAAGCGGCCCATTGATAGCGCGGACCGCCTTCAGAGAGTTGGGCCGCGTGCCGCGTGGCGGCCAGGGGGCGCAGCCCCCTAGTGTTAGGATATTGTACACGATTAAGTGTGGGGTGAACAGCTTGGTTGCGATTGTTGTGAATGTCAAGACCATGAAAATTTGTAGACTATGCATCTTGTGGACATCTAAAGTTCGCAGTTTTTAGCAAGTACGCATACTTTAAAATTCGTAGGGTATTGGATATGTGGATGTCCTAAGTTTGTAAGGTTTTAGTGTGGACATAATTTGGAAACTAGGTTTAAAGATTTGACTAATGACGTTCATGAAAAACTTAGTCAATTCCCAACTTGACATTCCGTACAGAAAATAAAAAATAAAGTGACAAATACAACTCTTTTAACTCATTTGACCAAACATTCATTGAAAGCGGACAGTCGAAATTTATTCCAGTAGTCTCTCATTTATGATTTCTAAGAATTTGATCATTAAAAATTTTGAGGACTTTTGGTTATTAATTTAAAAAACCATGTAAGTGTAACCACCAAAGTTCATCCAAACTTACAAAGAAAGGTCTGCTGGCATTAGATGCGAGGCCGACCTGCCATAAACTGAGGTTACCATCACCATCTGCCACTCCAAACTTGTTGCCATGTTGAGAGAAACGAACCCGCGTTACTTTAGCAAAGGTACCTGCTGGTCGCGGAACAGCGACCGGTTGTGTGTGTCGCCACTCCCACATTTGCACAGAACCATCTTGAGACCCCGTCAAATCTACAGACAAAAAACATCTAAATGATAAAACTGGTTAATAAATCAACAAAACTATAAAAAAGTCGTCTAAAATGTAGAGTGAAGTTTTTGTTGGAGGAGGGGCCCAAATATGGACCTCACATGGACTCTATTTGAGTGCTTCCTCACACCCTCCTTAGAAAATATGAAAAAAGAACCACAGTAGCCAAAAAAACACTTAAGCTTGATGCCTAGTCATATAAAGTTAAACTGACCGACAGTTTCCATTGAATTTTTTGGTGAATTTTCTCCACTCATCCTGAAAAATCGCACAAAATTGCAAGGAAACAATCAATTAGATTTTCTTAATGGAAATAAAACATGATGGGAGATTTTCAAGTGTTACAATTGAAATAAGCATTTTTCACATTCAGCCATCGATATAAAATCAATAATTTCAATACATTGAAAACAAGAGTATCTACATCAAACTCATTAATTCAGTGACCTTTCAAATCAGTTGTGAGAGAAAAACTAGACACATTGCTACTAAATCATAAATCTGTCAATTTCACTACAGTGAATTCGCTGTACATACCATGATGTATGATGTGTCAACAAATGGGTACAACTGTTATTTTGGTTATCTTCAAGAGCATCATTATTGCTAATTTTATGTTTCATGAGACTTCATGTATGAGTTTAATTTCTCTACATACTGAAACTTTAAGCTGAATCTAATTCATGGCACAATAAGAGAGAAAAATTGGCTGAGGAAAAATAAAACAAATTCATTTTAGGATATGGCGGTTAGATGGACTTACACAGCGGCAGAAGAGGATGAGCACTCATTCTACGAACATTGTCCACACGGTGTTTCAAAACCTGGAAAATTAAAGGCATTATTTAGTGAGAGAAGTCATAGATTATGTTTAAAAAGTTGGAGGGAAAATAATTTATAAGGTATAAAGTATGCAGAACCTAAAACTGATTTAATTGCTGCGAAAAAATAAAATAAGTCCTTATTTATGTTTCTTTTTCCTCTTTTATCGGGTTGTATCAGATGATACTCACTTTTTTGTGAGTATTATTATTAAGTCCTTATTTTTCAGGAAGCTGTTAGCACCAGCATCAAAGAGCATAAATACATACAGGTACAGAATAATACACCTTGATATTTCCAAAACTCAGTAGCGTGTTTTAGCTTTATCCATTCAGGGTAAGTACCATTCACAATATAACAGGCACCAGTTGAAAATTATGTCATTTTTAATGATGCAATGAAAAAGCACAGTAGTATAGACCAGAATTGTTTTATACAATTTCATCATTACATGTAGGATTTTTAGCTGGGTTTCTGTTAATTTTTCCTTTCTTTTTTTCTTCACTGACATCAGAAATTGTGAGTAAAAGAAGAAATGCACATCACAATTCTCGTTTTAACAAAGCTGGTGAACAGAAATATAAAATTGTACAATAAGAGTGCTATTAACGTACAACAAAGACTGAATAGAAATAAGGAATCGTTTTTACATTCCTGATTATTACGAGGAAACTGAATATAAAAGTTACCACATTGTCATAAAAATTGTACAGCTGTACCACTCCTTGTACCATCATGGGTTTTCTATGGTATGCTATGAATTTTAGGGAATGGGCGATGGTAATATCTTCTCAAGATGCAGAGATGCAGACACTTAAAGAGGAGGGAGCCACGTTACAGAAGCTTTTACAACTTTTTTACATCATGCTAGCATTGGCTTAAATGACACAAAAGTGAAGAAAGTAGGTATGTAGTGTCTGACCACATGGTAGATTAAGAACATTCACTTTATTTCACTGCAGAGGGCTCAAGGAGACATCAAGAAAGAGAATATGATTCAGATTCTTGAACGAGGGTCTCCAAAAACCTATTCTCACAGATATAAAGTCAAAGCACGAAAAAATCTATGAAATACTCTAAAATATAAAGCGATACTTCAGCCAAATTTCTAAGTACATTCAGTGCAAACTAAATTGAATAAAATATTGAAAACAAAAGCTATGCTTTTATTCTTTTCAGATCATTAATTTCCAAAATGCAAGAGAATTTAAAAAAAAAAAAAATATCATTGAAATAAAACATTTTATTTTGCACAATACCGCCAGTATCCAATTCCAACAATCCTGCTCGAATTAAATGTGTCAGTGATAATGTTTTTGGTCATTCATAATACACCTTTTTTCCCACCAGAATAACCATGATCAGATTTAGCAAGAATCATTTTTTCCGAGATCAATGCATAAATTAGAAGAATTCACAGTTTCTCTTCGTGATGTTCCATGTTTTCTCAGTCATTAAAAAAATGAAAATACATGTTTATGATTGTGACAAATATGTTAACAGATAGTCTCCTTTTTCCCTAGACTTTACATGCTGTAACATACACACTGAGCAATTATTGAATGGCCTGCATGCGCAAGGAGAAAAAAAGAAAGTTAAAAGCACATGGCGTCCCTCACTGATCTAACATTACAGCATATCATATGAGGCCTATACACCTGATGTGTATGTGTTTCAATTTCCAACAGGGATTCATCATCACGCTTTGAATGTGCGACAACACAACATTAAAAACTCTCTTCAATTATACATAATTTCAATTTACAAATTCTCATTTACTGTGGAAACAATATCAGCTGTGAAACTACCAGATCACATACCTCAGTTTGGACCGTTACAGACTTCTTGTCATGCTTTTTTCTTTAAATGGAAAACCACTCGACGTTAATTCTAGAAAACTTCAGTGATCATTCTTCTCTGTACATTTGTACTTCTCATCTGTGAAAATTTCAAGGAATGATATCGAGTCCTTCTCCTTGAAAAATAAAATGGGAGCGAAGATATTTAAACACCGTAAACGAGATACATGATCCAGTAGTTTCACCGTCAATATGCATCCTAAGTAGTGACGTGGATTTGAAACGTAGTTTTGTTATTCATTCATTCTTCTTTCTTTGTTCTTAAGTGTTCTGCATTGCAGAGGTTTTTTGAAAAGTAAAAGTGAAGATCTGTTCAAACTTTGAAAACAGCATGTGTCGAAATTGGAAAAAAAGTAAGACACGAAGCTACAGAAAATCAAAACAAAAAATGACAAAGAACATCATTCTAAATGAATGAAGGAGGAGAGAAATAGACTGTGAGCGATTCAACTAAAAACGAAAACATTTTAAATACTGAGAAGAAAACACAGGTTACACACGCTGACAAGCAGACAGACTTAAAGCACTGTACAAAAGGTAAAAAAAACTCTGAAATGATTTGATGCAGGATTTAATAAACATTAAAGATACTTTTGATTCAGGGCCCATGTCACTTGAGTGACAAGAGCCAGTCTTTTTACCCAAATTCTGTGATACAGCATTATCCTACGGAACTAGGGACTATATGGGCGAGAGAGAGTCAACCTGAGTGGGGGCCCATGACTAGAAAATCAATAAGGTAGAACTTAACTAAGGGAAGATAGAGCTGAACAACGGCATGCTAACCTTAAAAATAAAGTCTATGAGTGTTACGATTGGAAAACTGAGAAATGCACAATGGGCTAATACATAGGGTTACCAACTGAAAAATTTACACTTTTTTTGGAGTACTCCTAGGCAACAAACACAGGGGAAACTCGACTAGAAGGGAAAAGAGGATTCATCCGACATTGAGCATATAAAAAAAAGCACAAGAAGAAAAAAATTATTTCTCTACGAATGGAAGATCCATTTAATCAGCTCCTGCAAAAAAATTTTGATGTCCCATGCAGTGAATCAGAAATTTTTAGACTTTGCACAATTACACTGCAAGTCCTGAACAAAAATTGGTTTAAGGCAGCAGAAATGCTGCATGATTATTTTAGAACAAATATGATTAGGAGTTTACTATAAATATACAATTTTTTAATCAGTTTCAGGCGAAACAAACTACTGCAATTCTGAGAAAGTGAAATGGACATTGGACGTTTTTACAGGAGCCAATACAATATTCCTGTCAGCTCTCGCTTGCTTGGTGTAAAACACACATGACAGAGCTTTGCTCATTTACATAGGCCTTGGTAGGAGAAAAATAACAAAGGATGGATGAAGTAACAAGCCAGGACAACATTCAACCGTACTGGATCGCACAATGAGAGTGAATCCGGTGAAAAGTTGATAGAAAATATTTTTGATGGATTAACCGAGACTACAATGAGATGGTGTTCAGATGCTGAAAGTTCACGATAAGCATTGATTCCTTAGTCACAAGAATGAAGAACAAGTGCAAATCTTCACCTTGAGCTGATTCCAACAAAAAGGGTATACTTGTACTACAAGATAAAACAGCACTGCAAATGGTTGTCTAAAGCCTATAAGGCTGCAACAAATTACCTTAATAATTTTCTCCTTGTACAAGAAAGTAAAAAATGGTTTAGCAAGGAGCTATTAGGCTAAAAAATTGACTAGCATAATAGGATAATCAGCTACATAATCTGATCCACCTAGGCAGAAATGAACAAAAAGCATCGACTAAATTTTCTCCAGGAAAGACTAACATTGTAGATTTTTGCATTCAAAACTAGAGGTAGTTGCTGGGTTGAGATAAATTGCAAATATTGTGAGCAAAGAACAATGAACAAGCAGGAAGGTGTGCTTAAGATGATGACAAAAATAGGTGTGATTTGGGATCGAGTCATCAACAAAGACAGAGTTCTTACAGAGTAGAAAACAATCCATTGAGGAAAACAAGGTAAAGTAAGGTCGTAGAGCCGATTCTGCTAAAATCAAAGGATGAAAGGAATAAATAAAGGATGCAAGAGAGGTTCATGAAGACATAAAAAAGTAAGACAGGGTTGTCATGGCTCGAGTAAGACAGGGTTGTCATGGCTTGAGTAAGACAGGGTTGTCATGGCTCGAGAGACAGTAGACTTGACTAATTTTTTTGTTATCACCAGTGAGGAAAAAGCTGCAGATCTTGATTTTCACAAGCCAGTCAGCGCTACCTGAAAATTTGAGTAAAACTACATAACCCAACCCATATATTCAGTTTTGCTTCAGACCAGTTGAGAAATGAGGGAGGAGGCAGTAGCGTGCAAATGGATGGGGAAAGGAGCCGATGAAGGATTGAAGAATGATGTAAGAGACTCTCACCGGTTTGAGCAAGTGTTTGCTGCGATCAATTACGAACTGGCAGAAGCGCGGGTCGTGCGAACCGGGAAAGGTGAGTCCTTTCATCTAACACACGCAAGCATTGCACAGAAAGAGAGAAGACAAGTTCACTTGAGAAAAACACAGGTGCGAATTGTACGTATTTCTGAGGCCTAACACTAAAAATGTTCTGACCCTTATTTCCTAACACTTTAGTGCTTTGAAGCTACTCTTGGCAGAGAGAAGGGTTAAGCATGTGTTAAAGCTCAGGTGAAAAAAGTTGCTTTTTTAACATTTTGAATTTCTCCAGAATCGGATTCATAAAATATATTTAAGGAGAGAAAGATAAATTTAGAATTTAGCCAGTATGAACCAGAGGGCACTTGAAATGGAACATTACTTTTATTGACAATCATATCAAACGCACACAATTCTGAAGAGAGTGGGAACATTATAATTCCTACGACTGAAATTTAATTTTTTTTTGACTTTACAAAAAAATACAGTCAAGATTCATTTAATGAAAGAAAGTAACTAAATAGTAATAAATGAAAAAATAAAATTGCGGTTAAGTTTAAGGATAGAGATATTTTATCTGACATATACATAGAAATAAGTTATTGATTAGAAGGATCAGTCCGTAGTATCACGAATAAAATTAACTCTGCTATGCGCTCTTCAAAGTTCAAATTCCTTTGATAGCAATGAAAAAAAGTGCACTCTAAATGAATTTTCAGTCAAGTAACATTTGGCAATTTGATTCCTTTGTAAATTAAGTTAAATTTATTTTCAAAAAATGGGATTGTAAAGTTATATATATTTGTTGTGCAAACATACAATGGCATTTTTTGTGAAGCTTCTGTGCATATAGACAAAAATAAAGACTATTATTTTGTCACTGGAATATAGAGTAAAATATGAGAACACTAAAATTGTGAGCTTAGAGTTCCCACGAAACCACTTCAATGAAATACAAAACTGATGTCGTTTATAAATAGGAAAGAATTCTCTGCTAATAATTGTAAATAAAACTCTGACGAGGAGATCAAAAAAATAATAGTAGACGCAGATTCATTAAAAAATACAAAAACAAAGACTGAAAAGAATAATCTGATAAGTAAAACTCTTCGCTTTTATGACAACTTGATGTCAAGTGATGAAGTAGCAACTGAAGATAGAAAAAGGTCGCGAAAAACAGCTCTCTCAGGTATGCAGATATGGGACTCTTGGCAGATACATTGGGAAAAAGATGAGGTAGTTATGATATTTTGAATACCCGAAATATTTTTCGTAACAATTTTTTTGGAGATAATACCACAGGCGCTCTGTTTCGAGAAAATATACAGACTGGACCGTCCTCCCACGATGATTAGTCTGTCCAGGTTTTAGGGAGAGTTGCCATAATGGAAATCAAATAAATGATGTTGTTAGAACTATTGTAAAAAAAAAAAAAAAAAAAAACTTTTCATACAAACAGAGATAAAAGACTGTAAAAGCATTTAGTCACATGAAAGGCGAGTTCCAAGAGTACATGTTGAAAACTTGTCCTTGGATATTAATTTGCATAGTTTGAAAATATTCGAACCCAAGAAAGAGAAAAAAATATTGACTAACACCATTTCCTCAAAAAGAAAGTAAGACAGAAGGAACTTACTGCATTAGAAATCACATAAAAACACTAAACTTAAAGAAAAATTGAAACTCAAAATCTACTAGGAGAAGGAAAAAAAACAAGACCGTACACAAAAGCAGGACGAGTAATGGTCACCTTCACCGACCAAATAAATACACGAAATCGGAGAGAAAAAATAAAAATGCACACACACGAAACGCCAAAATTAGTCAGACTCTTACCACTGGGACACTCTTTTGGGTACTTTTTGACCCTTTAATTCCGCTTGCATCCCCAAGAGACAAACGATGACCCTTCACAACGACAAACAAAAGAAAAGCGCTGATAAGTTCGGTGGAGTGGACTACAGAAAAATGTGATGAGTTAAAGTGATGTTACGGAGGAAGTTAATTTTTTCATTTATGTACAGATGGTCGTGCCTCTGTTTGGAATTTCCTGTATTTAAGTGCATTGTTTATTTTATTTATTCTTTTGCTTTTTGCACATTTGGCTTCACAAAAACGTCATTTTCTAAATAAAGGTACTGATAGGTATAAACATATTTACATACAAATCGTCTTAAATTCATTCATTGACATTCAAAAATTCATTGATTGAGTACGGGCATTTTGCAATCAAATGCCTTGTGGCCAGCTTACCGAATGTTGGTCTATATATGCTTTCCTGTATAATATTTGGCAATTTATCAAAGAATTTCCATGCCTTTGTGAGGTATGCGTCGTTCTTTGATAAACTGCTAAATTGGTGATATCTTGTGTCATACCCATGTGTCTCTGCCTTATCTCCCTTCAGCCTTTTAGCCAGTAATTTTAAGTGACTCATAATTATTTTGGCCGGTAATGTTAATATCTCATTTTTTATGAAGTGTTCTCGGCATGATGTATCTTGCTTCAGTTTCAGAATGGTTCTGATTGATTTTTTTTGGAGAATAAAGATTTTCTCTATCTGTTTATTACTCGCACATGACCAAGTATTGATACAGTAATTTATATGAGACTCGACCAGTACGTGATAGGCTAGTAGAAGAAGTTTTTTATCGCAGAATTTACTTAACTTTGAAACTTTGAAACATTGAAACTTTAATTTTCACGAAGTTCATATCAATCAAGATATAACTGAATATAGGACCTGATTTTTTTTGCAGTACATCTCAGAATTGGAAATGAGCTGGTTTTAAGGCCTTAAGGTCCAAAGCACTGTGTTTTTACTAAATTTTTTCTACTATAAGCAAGCAACATTTTTCGAACTGATAAAACCCTAAGTAATATAGTGAAATTCACTGGGCATTAAAAATTTTAGGAGAGACTCGATGGGAATTAAATGACAGGTATTGTTTATAAAACCGAAGATGAAAAGTTATGAGAAGCAAACCATCAGAATTTTTGGGGGATTTTTTTTTTCAAAATTCCTGATTTTTCAGTTAGTAACTGTTAAGAAAATTTGAGCAAACAACTTGGAATGAAATTTGAGCGTGTTGGGCCTGGAAAAAATATCTAAAGTTGCTTTGGGAACCTTGTGATTACAACTTGCAGCAATAAGTAGCAGATTAGCCTAAGTTGGGTTGGACAAAGTCTATGCTTCATTGCAATACTTCACTTTACCTTTTGTTGCAACCTGAATTTTAGGAACCTGGCAAAAACGCATAACAATTGCCATGTTCAATGAGCAATGAAACATATCACCTCCGACTGGACCAAATCACCGAATTGTTTGGCCTTGCCTTTGATCAAAATTTACCAAGAGCCAGTAAACCTCTACGAATGTACAGGGGTATTTTAAACTTCTCGTCAATAAGGCAAAGGAAATTCTAAAAAAAAGGCAATTTTTTCATTAAGTGCAAAAAAAAAAAATTACAAGGTAAATTTTTCCTTTAGAAATATCGCTACACAGATATTTACAGAACAAATACAATTATTTATTTTTTCACTCTTCGTAATATATGTATGTACAGACTTCTCTGCGTTTGCTCCCAGAATTCTTGAGGTGAAAGAGCCTTCGAGATTTGACTTTACTGAGGAAATAAACCTAACGATGAAGAATTTACAAGTGTTTGAACTTTGATGAATTCTGTTTATAAACAGAAATTATTGAGTGAACTGAACAAGATGATATCATCAGTTTCTATATTGGACAGAATAATTGAATGATCTATTTTCCTGAAGTATTTAAATCGGAGGTGCCCTCCTGTGATGTCACAAAGAAGTAAATTTTCTTACTTTTAAATTTACTCTACTACACTTCCCCATACCAGGAAAAAATTGTAAAAAATATCGTGAGCTTGACTGATCAAGTATTTTGGAATGAGGTAATATGATTTTTTCAAGCTAATTCCCCATCATGCCTAATAGGCTCAAAATAATTTCATTACTGTTGATTCAAACTCTGATATTGCATGGTAAACAGAGAACATCAAAGAAAACGGTACAAAACATCTGTTGCAGCGTTTTGTTTTATTTGCTAAAATAAAAATCAAGCCCACTAGCATTTGACCTGATTTTAGAAGTTGAATGGGAATAGAAGGTATTGAAAAGTGGCTATTTTGCCATGCAAGAGTGGGTGTTTGTTTAAGAACTGACTTGCCAGAATGCAAAAAGGTTTGTTAAAATATAAAAGAGCTTAGAAGAGCAGTGCTAATTGCGTGAAGTTATCCATGCATTAATCACTAATTTTTCTATCCTATTTGAGATGCTTGAGGTATTGAAGTTGCAGGAACATATACTCTTGAATAAATTTTTGTGGTAAAATAACCTAAAACTTGTAATTTTTGTGGGAGTAATGTCTTAAACTCAGGAAAATATACCTATCTTTCTTCTCAAAGAGACATTTTTCATCAAGGGGTAAAAAATGCCGAGCCTAGATCACTAATTCGATCAATATAATTATCAAAATAAACCCAACTTAAATTGAAAGATTTATCAATTTTACGCTTTCTTTCTTTGAAATACTTCATAAAGATAATCCTCAAGAATACTTTACTCTCTCAAGAGAACTTTACTTACTTTTAAAAAGACTTATTACAGACTTCCTCCGCAGTCAAAATTAGGCTTTCTCAGCAGATCACAGTCTTGCTGAACTAAATTGAAATGAAGCTAAAAACCTCCTCAGATTTGTTGTAGCCCGCTAACAATTAAAGTAAAAATCTAATATTTTGGCCAAATGTATTTGGTTTGAAAGAGCTTGAGTCGGCTTTTTATAAAAGACTTGCTTCAAGACAAGCAACACAATTTGAAGGCTGAAAGTGTATGAAGAAAAGATTAGTTCAATTATAACAACCAGCCAAGCTGTGATTGGGGTTAGTGATTAATTATGACAGCACAGTGACAGCTGGTAATATTATACGGCTCCAAGCCATTGAGAAGGATGTCCTCCAACGAGTTACAAAACTTATTTTCGTTTCTCTATACTTTGAAATTTGCAATTCATCAACCATCCCAACTTGATACCGAGAACTAACTACAAATAAAACACATGTGAGTAACCCTCTCTGATCAAACAGTCTCCAAACCATAATTATAAAATCAATACACATTAATCCATTCACCGTTCTTCCAAGATTCCAGAGTCATCAATCATTCCAGACGAACAACTAACACCAGAAATAAAATCCCCTGACTTGCAAACACCCTAAAATATGAAATAAATAGGACGAATTAAACAAATATTAAGGACTAATGGGGGAATATTGGTTTTATGACAATTCAAACCCAAGTAATTGGCAAACAAATGACTGGGGGAGGGGCTGGGATTAACAATGAAATGAAAAATTTTTAGAAATGATTAGAGTGTAGGATAAGAAAATTTTTCTCACCACTGAGGCCCCTCTTCCTGTTTGACCTCCGAGACCTGTTTGTGGACTTGAGTTGGAGTGAATGCTGTTTGGTGAAACTTGGGAAATTTTGTCCTGAGCAGTTTGTATAACTAAGAAGCTACTGGCAGGAAGTGATTCTGGTTCCCTGCAACGTATAAATGAAGTTTTGAGTAAGTAACAATAATATTTACCAGCTGAGAGATTTCGGCAGGTTTGAAGAAATAATTACAGCAAAAATCAATTTTTAGATGCTGTGTGAACTGCAGCAACTCAATTAAAAATTTGAGGTTTCGATGGAAAACCAGGTTTAAGAATTTTCAGCCCTAATAATGTGAACTGATGCTTAATATTTAATGAGGCATTTCAAAGTTTTTGCACCTACATATTTTATTTTTTCAGGCAAAGACAAATTAATTTAAATGCTAGCAAGTTTCATACAATAATTTACTATTAGAGAGGAGAAATCAAGGGAACTTTCAAGAAATTGTGATGATTCATTTCCCAGTTACAGGAAAAAAATATTATGACAGGGGGGCTGCAAAGCCTCAAACTGAGATAGGTAAAAGCTGAGTTCAACCATCTTAGGAACTCCCGGTAACGAATTAAAGATCAATCAGGATCAAGGAGAGATTCAAATCTTATATGATGGAATGATTCCTTCAACTTCTATCTTGACCTCTAAAGCCAATCTGCATCCTTAATTTCTTCAACAAATACACCGAATCTTATTTAAATTCCATTAAATATTATTGCTTACTTGTTTAAATTGATAATGTCAAATTCACATTCATCTTCCAGCCAGGATGGAGATTCTAATAATAATGAGATATCGATTTCCTGGACCTCCCGAAGTGTTGCCAGAGCTAACATTCCACCATCGATCTACAAGAAAATCCATGGATTGAGGAGAGACAAGGAGGGTTGAAAGTGATTGAACAATGCAACAAAGTTCCATACTTTTACGTGATAAAAATGCACTGAGCTTCAGTTTAGTTCCTTGAGACAAGAAAATCTGCCTTAAATACAGGAACCTTTCCTTGCAACATTTTAAAGGACTCTCAATTTTTTTGGTGACAGAAGGAATTTTCAAACTATGCTGAAAAGTCCAGATAGAAACCAAAAAATTTCGGATGTCACAATCAATTGAAACTGATGAACAATGTTTTTCTCACTTAGATTCAAAGGCCTGATTTAATGAGAAGCTCGTTCTCATGACAAGTACTTTGCTTAAACTTGCAGATTTTGGCACACAACTTTTCTAGATTTAAATTACTAAAACTTGATTTATTTTAAAAATGAAAAAATTTTCGATCCAAAAAAAAAAAAAAAAAAAAAAAATGAGCCACGTCTTGACAAGATTCTTCAGTATATTTTCTTCTAATTTACAAACATTAAACAGAAGAAGCGACAAATTTGAACAATTGAGTAAACTCAAATATTTTGAATGTATTGTTAGCGACTATGAAAACTTTAAAAGTACTTCTGTTACTGGCACTGGATAGGGAAAACTTCTTGGAAACGAGAAGATTACACTTGTCAGACAAGACTGGAGAATAAAAAATTCTAAAAATTAAATTCCTGTTCATAAGCGATCAACAATGTCATTCTTTACCTGATTGAGACAGAACGCTGATATTGAGTCCTGCTCTTTGTGAATAATCCGAACGAGCTCAGGAGGATTGTTAGTAGTTCCGGATTCGGAAGTCTTGTCATCAGAATTGTCACCCACGATAGAGCCAGTGGTCATTTGTCGTTTTCCAAATATGTAGCGGATAAACATATCTTGAACTGCTTCTTGACGCACCAGAAACGTCCACAAACGCCGGGCGGGAGCCGCTGTCCAGTGACGAGGACTAAGAAAAAAAAAAGCTGAGTTTAACCCGATATCATAAGCAATTTTAAATTTTTAAACATTTTTCGAACAGCTGTGAGTAATCTTAATCACATTTGCATAATGCCCTTTGCCAGTGGTCGAACGCAAGGTGAATCTACAGGGGTGATAAATCAACAGCCAGATATTGAGCAAATAATGTGTAAATACTGGTTTCATTTTTTCTCTTGAGCAAAAAAAAGAATCAAGTTCAAGTGGATTGGAATCATACTCCAGATATTTCCTTCCAAAAATAATCTCCTTAAAACTCTAAAAGAGCTTTTTCCGTGGTTATGACATGCCAACAATGCTTTTGACGGCCAAGTATATTCTATCTAGTTTGCTCTCACTTGCCTTCTATGTATTGTCATGTCACTCAATTAAATAATTAAATTGTCTGAATAAGAGCATTTTTTCTCAAATTTTATTGTAAGTATGAAATTCTTGGATAGTGTGACCAAAATATCAACCAAAATATTCTGCAAAACACATCTTGAAGCCGAAAATTGGATTTTAAAAGGAAATAGATATACATTGAGAGCAAGCTAAGTGGATTACTCTCAAAAAGACGCCTGAGTCAGTCCAGTGTCACTCTGATTGCCTTCAACGGAGGCATTAGTAGCTTTTGTTGATTTTGATGGCATATGTCTAGAGGATTTATTGAAGCCAAAAAACCAATTAAGAATAAAATATAATGATACACTTCCATTGAATCTATTAGACAGTAAGTTCCATTTTTGCACTTTAAAAGACTCCACCATCGCAAGTATAAATTTTAAGATTTAAATAAAAAGTAATGAATTATGGTGGATACAAAGGAAAAGATAGGTATATTCATGAAAAAGATGAGAAAAAAAAGCTATTCTCTAGTAAAGGGTATGACTCATTAGCTCGTTGGTGTTAAACTTACTGAAAGGGTGTGTTGTCTTTCTCTAGGAGGGATTTGTACTTGTTAACAGCTGGCCCTGGGGCAGACTGCTCGACATAGCAGCCAGGAATGTAATCAACGGGTGGAGGGCCACGATGTTCTACTTCATCTTTGAGGATCTCTTGCCAGTGCGCCACCACTCGCAAGACACCGTGAATTAGCGGGCTGCTTACGGGTAACTCTGCAAGAGAAAAATCAGAATTAATAAAAGTTTATGTTAACTAGGGGGCTGCGCCCACTGGCTGCTCCGCGACCCAACCCCCAGGTCGTAAATTTGTTTCAAGAACTGAGAGGGTAGGACTGAAGACATGAACCATCTGGGCCCCCAAGTTTTTTTTTTTTTTTTTTTGTGAAATGAGTTCCAGCTGACTCTGGATGGTTGACTTTTGATCATCGTCACGTAGTTAAAATTGACTGCTGTAGAATTGGACGTATTTCTGCCAAACGGAACTATGTGCATTCAGATATGAGCCCCGAGACCCATAAGAATACATGCATAGCAGGACTTACGTCACCCAAGGGGTCGGGCTCGGGCGACCGCGACCCTCTCGGCTTGTAAACTATCGCGCAAGAGTTTTATGGGTCTTTTAGGACGCTGCCGTCTGTCCCAAAAAATATCGAAAACGCTCATGTGTCTTTATAGAGAATCCGTGTTATTTCTGCGCAATCTGACAACCACATTATTTGTCCCAATTTCGCAAATTTGGAAAAAAGGCAATTACTCTCGTGTGGATGAAAATTTGAAAAATCGGGCTTCGAGGTGCATGTAGGCGTATAAAGCTGCATCAGTGGGTAGAAAGGTCTATGTTGAGAATTCAATGTTATACTCTGTGCACCTTGACATAGACGAGGTGAATTTTTTAGATTTTTCTCAATAACTCAACCAATTGTAAACATTTTATGGACAAAAAGCTTCAGTATAACCATTTCAGCTCGCCCCTTCATCATGACGAATTTCAAGTTCATAGGATCAATATTAGTCACGAAATAGGCAAAAATAGATTTGCAGATTTTTTGCAATAACTCTGCTAAAAATGAAAAATTCAAAAATAAGAGATCGCGCCATGCTACAGCACAGAAGTTGTCACATCTCTGTAAAATTTCCATACTCTCGTCCTAACGGTAACTTCAGGACAGCGCGAAACAGATCTCGACAATTTTAGGGCTTACGATTTTATAATATAGTAAGATAATTTATTTTGCAGATTTACAGCGATATATAAAAAACATCATTAACTGACTGATTATAATAGAAAAATTCCAAATTAGATTGAAAAATATAAATGAATACGGAAGAGACCAAAAGTTTCAAAAAGTGTTCTGAGAAAGCTCATTTTCTTTCATCATTAACGTGCATCTGTTACATGAAATCTGGTCTATACAATGTGTTATTCAAAGAAGATTGCAAAAAAAAAAACATTTGACATAAAGCTATGATCAATTTAAATTCCTTGTACTATGTTGCGATTACCTTGCAATTCTATTCCAGCGATATTCAAGAAACTCTGTAGTTGCAACTGAGCCAATTTGACCACAGCATAGCGCATAATGTACCAGGCATGACTCCACGGATTTGAGTGTTCAGTATTTTCTTTAACCTTCTTATTGCTGCGTGAACCCAGATCATTGCCTTCAAATACATCTTCCTCATCTTCGTCATCCGAAACGTCTGAAACAGCGCTATCTGCTGAGTCATAGTCTACATCTTGAGCGTCTTGCGAGAGACACGGCTGCAAAAAATGTTATCGGCAATAAAATGAGTGTAAAAAAGGTAAGTTGCAGAAATTAATTCAGTTAGGATTGAGAAAATACTTTGAAGTTTCAAATGATTTATTCCTTTCATTTTATTTTATTTTATTTTATTTTATTTTATTTTATTTTATTTTATTTTATTTAGTACAAATTGGTACATTAGCCTAAATGATAAAACAGCTTAATATAAGTTAAATTAGAAAAATTACAAATTCAAAAACTATACAAGAACCAAGTCCACCTTTTTTTGCAATTTTTCATGAAACTTTTTTCGGGCTGATAGGATATCACTCACAACTGAGGCATGTCTTCACAGGTGAACACCATAGTTAATAATTGAGTCAATGTTGGCATTGTAATAATTCATTATGGATTCTCTGTCAAATCTACTAGCTAGTTTCCTAACGGCAAATATTTTGGGAATATATTTTATGAGAGATGAATTTTAGATTTTGCAAATGTGTTTTGAGCCATGTTCCTATAGACTACGCTAATCATATAACTGGTATATAGTTCTAAAAAAAACCCACTTGCAATTCTACAATAAGCGACAGTAATTCGGTTTCTTATAAATATCATTTTGGATTCAGGATGGAATCAGCTTCCAGGGAAAACTTATTTTGTTAGTGTATTGGTTTTGTCTTACCTTGTTGAGGAAATAGGAGACCATTGACATTTCCGGTGGGACAAACTTTTCTCTATATGTAGGTAGACCCTCCTTCATGACTGCTGTTCCTGACTGACTACTGAACTGGCCCAACAGTTTCATATTGAGCCGCACTCGCTGTTTCGTCAAAGAGGTCATTGTCGACCAAACGTTCGCTTCACTGTTTTCCCTCTCTAGAGGACTTGGCTGAAAATAAAGAAATAAATAATTATCAATCTAAAACTTTTAAAAAAGTATGAAATTGGCCATGAAAATAATTAATCTTTGAGTTTCTGCATTTTAATAAACTTCATTCACCTTGCTGCCTGCTAAACTATTTTTCAAATGGAATTGTAAAACTTGCAAGATGGTACTTTTGAATTAGTAAGTACACAGCATTTATAAAATAAGTAAGTACCTTCAAAAAAAATATTATTACCTGACTATTCATAGCATTTGTACTGTGGGCAACCCTCAAGAGCTTTTTCACTCCTCCTCCGAATAGGCTGGCCCAAGTCAGCTCTGAGAATTTCTGTCCAGCCAACCGGTACAATATGTGGCAATCACATGTTGCAAGAGCATACGTTAAAAGCGCCATGTACGATGCGACGAACGCCTCACACAAAAGAATGTTGAGACGAGGTGAGTCCTCATCTTTCTCATGTGCCAGCAAGAAGCGGAGATTGGAGACTCCAGGCCACTTGGAGGGAGGCGTTGTGATTTGAGAGGGTTCTTCAGTTGAGTAGCGGCGGCGACGATGGTGTGTTGCTATTAGATGAGATGTTGATGACATTACAGCAAGGTTATCAGAGGCACCGGTCTGGTAGCTGAAAAGTTAATTTTGAAATTTAAGTGGAATTTAAAACTTAAAGAAGTAAATGCTCTTGACTTTCATTAGACATACCTTCACACTTCTTGGCAAATGCTTTGTTGATTCCAAAACTCTAGAAAAATGGAGCTCAATTTGTAACCATTCCAAAAAGGCTGCGATATAATGTCACAGAGGATCCTTTCATTTGCACGCAACAAAAAAAGTTTACCTAAAGAGAGTCAGAAATGATCTTCAAATGCTCCAGTATTTTTTTTTTTTTAAATCAAGTTATTTTATTACGGTTATTTACAGGGAGGAACTATGGTGGAAAGGCCATAGCCCGAAGGCCTTTGATACATACTAAAATGAAACCTATCTGTTTTATTTACATTATTTTTATTTGTTTCCCCCCTTGTGTTTAATTCTTTTTATAGAGGTTCTTAAATGTAATGTGGGTCTTGAAGTCTCCTCTTACTTCAGATTGTACTATGCTTTCTTGAACGCCTCGGCATCACCATTGATGACACCAGGGAGGAAGGGTTGGTTACTGCTCTTTCTTGCTGGTCTTCTTTCAGAATTATTTGCTTTTGAATTAAAGTGTTTTTAATATATTTGTGAATTTCGTTCCAGTTTTTTCTTGATTCAAGCATTGCTGCCATGATGTTGTCTGGTGTTAACATTCTTCCTATCTTCTTTTCTAAATCTCTTTTCTGTTGTTTTGTTTGTTTGCATGCAAAGAATGTATGCTCGGTGTATCTTTGATTTGATCTTCTCTATGGCCATCGATGATAAGGCAGTAAGGGCAGAATGGGTTATCCCTCCTTTTAAATCTGTGAAGATAATCCGAAAAAACTCCATGGCCAGAGAGAAATTGACTAAGATAAAAATCGGGTTTCCCGTGTCTTCTGTTGAGCCATAAGTGTAGTTCTGGAATGAGTCTTTTTATCCATTTATTCAGGGATTTTTCCCATTCTATGTTCCATCTTGTCATTTTGTCTCTGTGTATTTCTTCGATGTCTTCTTTTTTATATCTGCTTGTCTTTTCTTGTATAAGTATTTCTTCAGATGGGATACCTGAAATGATGTGTAAGCAAAAGTCTGAAGTTGTCCGGTAAGCGCTACATAGTGATATTTTGAGAGGTCTTAATGTCTTTCTTATTTCTGTTCTGTTCTTCTTCAAGTTACATTCTGTCATCCAAGTAATGATTCCGTAGAAGATTATTGATAAAACTGCGTGGATTAATAATTTCCTCTTGATGAAGGTGGGACCATGTAGATTTGGCATCAGAGGTCGAAAATGGGATGCAACCTTCCTTGCCTTCTCACATACTGCTCTGATATGTTAAGTCATCCTAACTTCTCTTGTGATATTAAAACCAAGAGAAGTCAATGATGGTTGAGCAGTGATTTGTGCTTCTCCTATCCTGGGTTTATGTCTTCTGCTTTCCTTGGGCCATGTAGTAAAACTGCTTCTGTCTTGCTATCTTCCGTAAGTAGTTCTTTCTTTTTCAATTTCTGTTTAATTTGTTTTGTGATGTTTTCAGTTGTAGTTTGAATTTTTTGTTCATTAAAAATGCTCCAGTATTGACAAACTTAACAGTTCAATAAAATTGAATGAGAGATATTCTCTAGCCAAAAAGATGAGAGAGGATGGACTTTCATTAATTCATAGGCTCACTACTCATAGACTCTTTGGGATAGTCTAACTTGCCATACTTAATGTCTCTTTTGACACCTTGATGTGGGTGTAACTGAAAAAAATTGACGCTTTTTGAGCTCATAAAAAGAATCACAAAGTCAGCCATCTTTATGTTAGACTATTAAAGTAGAGTCTAGAATGTGAAAACTTATGAACTGCAATGCAAATTGAATTGAAAAAAAAATTGAACAATATTGCTTCAGAAGGTAATATTATTAAGGAAATCTTCAAAGAAAAAATTCTGCTTCATCTCTAAAAACACCTTTCTTTCTTGGCACAATCCACTTAATTTCTTCAAAGAGATAAAATAAAAAGTTTAACGGCATACTTTTTTCATTAATCTGATGGAGAAAAATGGGAAGGAGGTTGAGCAACACTGTGCAAAACAATAGTTGAAAAAATTGTTCGTCATGATAAAATTTTAAGAAAATATCAAGGATAAAAATGAATAGCAACATTTTCTTACCAGTCAACCGTAGCTCTATTAATACCACAGGTATCGCTATCACAGAGAGACTGGTAAATGCATGCAGAGAGCGCAACCGCAAGATCGCGGAGGACGAACAGTTCACTGAGATTGACTCGTGTTAAAAGTGGAGGAGCGCGCATTTCAACGATAGTCTGTAGCATATCATGAGTCAGGGACTGTGAAAAAATGATAAAGAAAATAATTTAAAAAGAGGAAAAACGAACAAAAAAGTGAATTCATAATGGAAATAATGTTAAAGAATATTTTCTTTTTGACTTGTTGTGAAGAAAGATACGGACTTGTCATTTAATGTATGTTGTTTGAAATATTTGTGTTCCCTTCGTGATGAAGGTGGATGATACGTAAAAAGAAAGAACAATGAGAGGAGATGAGGAGTATCTAAGAAAATTACTTGAAATTTACAGAATCAACTTCTACCATTTTTGATGGAAAGTCAAGAGAAAAAAAGGTGGCCTTCCACCTTTTTACTTTCTCGTTTTTCCTTTTATTTTTTCAATGTTTTGTAAGTGGACGGGAATCTTTTCCACAGCAAGAAGATGGAAAACCATGTATTTCTGTTTGTGACATTGAGATTCCTTATCATACTTTATTTTTCTTTTGGAAAACTAGTCAATGTAACTTCTTGAAAATTTTTTTGATTTGTCTTCTCTGTAAGCAGAATATTCTATGTAATTTTCAGGCTGTAAAATTGGGTCGGTTCTCTTTATGAAAATAAAATATGAGAACAAATTATAAGACATCACAATGGAGATACATCATTCCACATTTTGGCCATAATTTTGTCTCCTATTCAATTGCTCCTGATATCAAAATAAAATTGAAAAGCTCAAGCACTTTTGTGTTTCTTTCTTTTTCATTCCTTCCAAATTCATATGGAGATGGCAATTAAACAGGAACAAGAAAAAAACTCCTTCTGCTGAGATCTCAATAGTTTACAAAAACTCAAAACTGAGAAAATTTAGTACCTGCAAATGGCGAACAGGATCAGCAACCACCGTTTTGTTACATGCAACACTTGCTGAAAGAAGTGGAAGTGTGGTTGGGAAGGGAAGAGGGGAAAGCAATTGTTGTTGAGTCTTTTCTTGTTGCAGTTCTTGAAGAAGGAGAACAAGTTCCATGCGTACGCTTGCTAGACCTCCTCCACTGGCACCGTGCAAGCTACAATAACTAAGTAAAGTCCGCAGTAGGGTTTCGTTTGCTGAAAAATACAAAAATTGATTAGATGTTATGTTAGAGCAGCTTTTTTAATGAACTTATGTGCAAGAAACATTTTTATAAAATTATGGGTGAATCTGTTGATTCTTACAACAGATAACTCTTTGAATTTCCTTCATTATAAATGATTAAATGGTCTGACAGGTTGATTTACCTTTTAGTTACAGTATATCTTGTTTTTAGAAAGAGTAAGATAGCAAACATACTTAAGTCGGTGCTTTCAGCTATCCTAGACTATCCTAGTTAGAAAGAGTGCTTGGAAGTCATTAATACCAACATATTTGCTTCTTTGAGACTCTTTTTTAACTTAAAATTTCTTTAAGATCTACTCTTTTTAACTGTTAGAAATTTTTTCCTCTGGTCCTTTAAAAGACCATAATGACAGAGTACCTAGAGCCATACACTTTTTACTACCTATTTTAAGGGATTCCACATCTTATTACTATGCAGTAAGTTGCACACTTCTAGAATTGTCATCAATGCACAATGCGTTAAAATACTATTTGGAAGATTCTAAAAGATAAAATCACTGACCTTTCAACCATTTTTTCCTCCGCGCAGCCCGCTGAACTTTGGCTTCAAAGTCCAATTTATCAGCGATTAAAATTTCATGAAGGGTGGGCTTGTCACCTGAATTCTTGAAAGTAGGGGTAGAACAATGCTCTCTGCCAGGATCTTGAGAAGTGTTGAGAGGCTCCACTATCAGAGGAAAAAACAAGACAACATGTAAAAATCTAAAAAAAATAGTAATTACACCATTAACAACAGGAAATGTTTGTCTACTCTTTTTCTTATTACTCATTAATTTAGTTATTTTTCTCCTTCATTGAACCCATTTTTTTTTTATAAAAGCAAATTTTATTGACTGTTTAACATGGAGAATTTTCCAAATTTTCCATTATTGATCAAAATTCTTGCTACTCTCGCTATTTAGTAAAATCACCAACATTTCCTGTCTTGATATGATTCTGTATTGAAATAATTACTCAAGAGTCTAATTTCTTCTCTTAACTCGGATAAAGCAGAGGAAACTTGGGAAAGTTAGGAAACAATACGTCAAGAGATAATACTCAGAATTTAGTAGTGTTGGTAACATACGTTCTCCTGAAGAGGTGTCTGCATCTCCAGCACTGTAGTTGCAAAGTGTGCGCAGAGCTTCAACCTCCCGTTCAAGCCAAACGTATAGATGGTAGCGCAACTCTCCACCATCAACCTCATAACCGGTGGCTAAAGTCGATAACTCCTCCATTAAAATTTTGAGACAGGCAACAAATTTCAGCTGCTGAGCCATGATATCTAAAGTGCCTGATGACTGTGCTTCACCCTCCTCATCTAAAAATGAAATTTGAAAATCGTCATTAGTAAGTTACGGGACGTTTGATCATCAGTTGAAAATTGCTTTAAAATTCCGACACTTTAAGGAATCTACCTTCATGTTATATAAAACAAAGAGGCAAGCCTGCATGTATACAGTCAGATGTCCATTTTTAAAATTTCTGAGGGTTCTACAAATTGAAAAGATAAGAACCATCTCCATAATGTAGGAACACCGTCATTCATATGCCTCTAAAAAGGTATGGATTAAAACACAATGGAACAAGTTTTCTCTTCAAAATTTCACAAAGAAAACGAATCAAACAATGAGAAGTTTGAAAATCAACTTCTAAACAAGAAGTTAATGTTTTTAATCAACATTGTTTAAATGGCAAAAATAAAAATACTTGTTAATACTTTGTCCTGATATTGAGTTCCGAACTTCCCAGTGTGTTATGTAATCGTTTTCTGCGCAAGATTTTGCAGAGAAAACATGCTATGTTTCTTTCTAGTTCAGTTGCACAGTCCAGTGGCCCAGGCCTAGTACCATTACATGGCGATAAAAGGAACTTTTCCTGAGTAAATACCGGAGCCTTTTCATTACCATTCTTGTTTCGTTGGATTCACAAAAAAATTATACTTTGATTACATTGAGGATACTTACTAGTCCTCCTTTTCTTTGTGTAAACTTTATAGGAATTAGGTAAAATTCAAAAGCATGCGGGAGATCTTTGACTTGCCTCTTCAATTTAAAACCTTAGAATGCTACGGAAATTAAAAACAATAAGCACCTTAAATGATTTAAAGATTTAATTCTAATAATCCGGATCAAATATGGTTAAATGAGAGACAGGGAGAAATCATTGGCAAAAAATAAAAACCCTCACCATCCTTCATCGTGTCTTCTTTATTTTTCATTTGTTCGTGTTTCTGCGTCTCCTTTTTAGTTGCAACTTTTTCTTCATCTTTGAGGTCTGTATCTGAAGTTTCATCTTTTTCTTCATCACTCCAGTTGAGCACCAACTCATCCTCTTTCTTTGCAACTGGCTGTGACCAGTCAAAATCACTGCTTGCACCCCAATTCACCGCTGCTGACAAAAAAGGTGTTACTATTATAAATTAAGAAACAGTGCCATTTTGGATATTTTTGAACAGTGGGTTTGCAAACTTCTGAAACTGTCGTCCTAAATCATTTATACAGGGTGATCCAAAAGTCCCTTCCACCCCCTCTAACTTTTTACCTAATTGAGGTAAAGATTTGAAACTTGGGGGATATTCCTAGGTCAAAGGGAACTACTTTTTGGCCCCCCTAAAATTTTCAGGGGGGCCCCCAACTTTTAATTTTCAAATGGGAAGACCCCCTTTGTGATAGCTCGTTCGAAAGAGCATAAAAAAAGAAAACTTTTCGCGCAAACCCGAAGTCAATATCTCAAACCGTTTCAAAATGGCGGCCGGTTAAAGTTCAAAATGGCCGAAAATTCACACCGGTGATTTGTCGATGGATTTGCGCGAAAATCGGTATGTAGGGGTATTTTGACAAGAGAAAAACGAATTTGACGTTAGATTTTCAAAAAAACCGAAATTTCCAAAATGGCCGCCGGTTACAGTTCAAAATGACAAAAAATTGATTTTTTTAGAAATCTAAGTTCAAATTTGTTTATCTTATGCCAAAATACTCTCAAATTCCAAGTTTTAGGCAAATCCATCAGCAAAAAACCGAGGTGACAATTTTCGGCCATTTTAAACTTTAACCGGCGGGCATTTTGTAAATTTTGGTTTTTTTGAAAATCTAACGTCAAATTCGTTTTTCTCGTGTCAAAATACCCCTACATACCGATTTTCGCGCAAATCCATCGACAAATCACCGGTGTGAATTTTCGGCCATTTTGAACTTTAACCGGCCGCCATTTTGAAACGGTTTGAGATATTGACTTCGGGTTTGCGCGAAAAGGTTTCTTTTTTTATGCTCTTTCGAACGAGCTATCACAAAGGGGGTCTTCCCATTTGAAAATTAAAAGTTGGGGGCCGTTGCCCCCCCAAGGGGGGCCCCCCTGAAAATTTTAGGGGGGCCAAAAAGTAGCTCCCTTTGACCTAGGAATATCCCCCAAGTTTCAAATCTTTACCTCAATTAGGTAAAAAGTTAGAGGGGGTGGAAGGGACTTTTGGATCACCCTGTATAGGACTAACCTATTGATGAGGTCAAGTCTCTGCTCTGGAGAGTCACTTGGTTCGGGAAAAGAACAACGATGCCCAAATTGCAGCTCTAAAAAGCCAGTAGATATCACTGCAGATTCATAGTTTGTTGGTCTCTAGTATGGTTACATCAGAAAAACGCACATAAAACAAAGTTGGAAAAAAAAAAGTTGACTTCAATATATGTATATAAAACGAAATTTTACCTGATCAATGGAAGAATTCATTCTTACAGAGGCGTCCGGATGTCCGGAATATTCATCCTCACATGAGCTCTATATCATTTTACTAGCCGTTCTGGACGCGCAATGCGCGTCCAGAACGGCCAGCCAAGGGGCTGCGCCCCCTGGACCCCCTATCACTCGCTACGCGAGTGACATTCGGCTCGCTCAGCGAGCCATTCTTCTCAGTGATTGGACATTTGATCACTAAGATGTATACATTTTGGAGACTCTGGAGGCAAAAATGATTTCGTCACAGAACCTTGTTGCCGGAGCGTGCCATCATTTGCACATGAATAGATGTGTGGAGATAAGACAATGATAGGGATCGATCATTTCTTCAAAAACGCATTTGACTGGGACGTCATCCCATCGGGTGGCGGAAAAAGACAATCCATGGATCACCTTTCGCGATTTGACTTGCTGAAGTAGCAAAAGTTCAATTTTACCTCTTAGGAAGATTATCGGTGGCGAAGGGGTTTAAAAACTGCTCAATGATACTAAAGTTCGAGTTCCGAATCGCAATGAGCCCACTCGTGTTTTTTTCTTATACTTTCATCGCATATAAATTTCTCTGATGGTTTTGTTTTCTTCTCTCTGATTGCATATCAGTAGGTAATCATATCCTCATTTCATTTCCTTTCCCTTTCCTTTTTCCCTTTCTGTAGCATCTGTATCCACTTACAATTATTATTTTAAAATAGCTTTCCCCTAGTATACAATTGATGCTTCAAACGGAATCAATTGTTTTAATGAAATTTCCGGCTAAATCATGGGTTTTCCCAGGAAGGCCGCCTCTCGTCCCTCCCGGACTCTATTGTTGCCAGATAAGTTGCTTTTTTAGCACTTTTTCCAATTCAAATCCATGTAAAATATTCATATTTATCGCACAATCTGGCAATCTCTCGAGTGAAATAGAAAAAGGTAGAATCGCTGAAAGTCTGAATCCTTCGAAGTTTATGTTAATGATGATATCCAAAAATATACCAATTCTCCAATTGTTAAGGAGGAATTACTTTAAAATCCACGAGGGAAAAAATAAATATTATTTAAAGTCTAATGGAATAAGTTTCTTTGCCTTACATGCTACTTCAACTTCAATTCACTCCATGATACCTACTTTCATTGACTTGTTTCTCAGGGGAAGTTATGGGTGCATCCCAGTCAATTGTACCAGTGTGGATGAGAGTGTCTGGAGCTCTCTTCTTGATCGTGCTGTTCAGTAAGCCTGAAACAAAAAAAAAAAACAAACAAACAAACTTGAGAATCTCGGTGGAATAAAGATAACTCCGCTCATGACAGTTTTTCAAAACCAAAATCAAGGAAAAAGGTCAAATAAAAGGTTAGCAACGAGTTAGATGTTAATATTCAATCAACTGAAGGACATAACAAGAGCTCTTGAGAGTTTCTTGAAGGATTTCCAAAAAAAATTTAGAGGCCTTGAATGCCTTACAGCAGGCTCCCCACATCCATTGGTGGGCCCCGGGGTCGGATCAGTCAGCGGGCCCCCTTCTTAGTAAACTATCTAAGGGGGGTCTGGGGGGACCGCCAGCCCCCCCAGCAGGAGGAGGGTTCGGGGGGCCACCCCCGAAAATTTCTTGAAATTTTGCCTCCAATCTGAGTAATTTTGTGCTATTTCCGCACTTATACATATTAGTGTATGCGAGATTTTTGCCCTTTCAAAATCTCAGAATAATTGCAGTTGTTTGAAAATTTGTAATCAGCCGTTATAAAAAAAATGTTCGACGTATAATTTTTTTTAAAAATATATACAGAAAAAAAAATGATTTTAAACATAAAAGGTCTTTAATGCCTGAAGTGAACTATTGAATAAGTTCTGACGTGGGTAAAATTTTACCTTTGATGAAAGAAAAGGAAAATAGAAGGAGATAAATACATATTAAAAATTCAGCTTATTGCAACAAAAAATATACATCTGAAATTAGATGGGGACAAAGTTTTGGCACAGGGTAAGCTATCCCAGGGGCCGATGCAAGCCTGCCTGGGCCTCGCGCAAAATTTCAATCAACAAAATTATTTTACTTTTGCCGACAGATTGGTAATATAAATGGAAAGTTTTGTGATTCTGGGAAGCCCTACCGGGCCCCCCTAAGCCCCGGACCCCGGGGCTGGAGTCCCAGCAAACCCCCCCCCCCCCCCCGATGTGGGGGGCCTGCCTTACAGTTTGCAGTTCCCTGGACCAAGCATAAACTTTCACCAATGCCTACAACAGAAGTGTCATTTAAGAAATAATGTAAATAAGCTAAGAACTGACGATTACAACACGAGGTCGAATTGTGGAAGTCTCCATTGCGGAGAAAAACGATAGATGAAATGAGATTGGAGGAGTTGAAGTTTATTTCGGCAATTTCACCGAACTCAGTATAGCGTACCTATATTAGCGTATTTTCAAATTCGCAGAAATGTATTAAAGGGCTTTTTGAGGTATCTGGAATCCTACACGATGGAACATTGCTAAAAAGGGTTATATAGGCTGCTAAGTATCTAATTGATAAATATTGCCTACGAGAAAAAATTGCATGCATTTCTCCATTTACCTACTTTTTCGTTTTCTTCCGTTCCGATGCGCTACATTCGACCTACAATGCAGGGGACTTCAACATTCTGAGATGCAACAATTCGAGCTTGGATGTTGAGATCTGGTATCATCCAAAAATGAAGGCGTTTTTTCTCGTCCGACGTTCATTACCGTCTCGTACTGTGACGTTGCGTTGCGTGCTCTTGGTGGGAACTTTTCAAAGGAGTAATTTTTGTTTATTTTATACAGAGGAGCATTTAAAGGATTGATAAATTAAAGCATTAAGCATTAATTAAATAATTGTTTTTAAAATAAATTAAATAATTTTAAGCATTAATAAACGCATCAACAAATGCTGACCCGGGCAAACTAAGAATAAGCTGGCACAGTTGAGCATTTGTTGAATGGTTGGCTGCTTTCTTGATGTTATGGACACAAATTTCGAGATTCGTAAAAATACATTCAATTATATAAAACGAAACAAAACAATTTCGAAAACAAACCCTAAAAGTAGTACTAGTCTACAATATAACAGAATTTTAAATGTTTTCGAGTATTGCACTTTTTGAAGGAAACGATTCAAATATATTGAATCTCGAGATCGGGAGAAAAATACGGGTAAAGAACAACAAAATCCAAGTCGAAGGACCGACCTGTCACACTTTAGCGGGGTCAACATTATTTACGAATACTCGTTGTCATTGATCACAGGCGAGCCCAGGCTTGATCTAACGATTACAATTGGTCCTTTTATGATTTCCGTTTTTGCTGAATCATAGGTACACACAGCCGAATTTTACGAGTTGCTAACCTCTAGAGACAGCGTTCTTTCCGCCTGCTCGGCTCGTTTTTCGTAATTACGGGTCTTTAAAGTAATTCACCTGCTTGTTGGTTCCTTTGCGACGATGAAATTTGTCATGAAGACCAACATTTTTGTGCTTGAGCTTAAGGTGAGTACATCGTGTGATCAAAGGACGCAGAACAGTGATCCCGGGTGCTCCGTGTGCGAGATCCGTACGCTCTCCGCTCTCCGTGCTGCTATTGGCCGAGCGTCATTCTGTGACGTCACGCGTACCGACTAAACAAGATAGGGAAGCGTTTTCCCATAAGGTTTTGGTCCGTACACGGTCCGTGTCGGTATAGGGAATGTCCGCGCGGCACGGATAAATCCGTACGCTTGGCATCACTGACGCAGAACCGCCACCACGTCACACTAAAGGATCAAAGTTTCCCGGAAAAGTTGAATGGCGGGAACGGGGGTCCGTTTATATAATAATGTCTATTTTTTTTTTTCAATTCGGAAAATCCTGATTTATACTGATTTTTCCTGATTTTTGACTGCCAAATCCTGATTTTTTCGGAGAAAAACTTCACGCAAGGCGAATGTAACTTCACAAAAATAGCTCGATAAAAAAAAAGAAAAAGAAAAAGAAGAAGAAGAAAAAAAAAAAAAAAAAAAAAAAAAAAAAAACCGATCGGACGGCCGACTCTTCTCAAATCCTGATTTTACGACCGAATTTACCTCAAATCCTGATGAAATCGGGATTAAATCCTAATTGACCTCACATCCTAATGGAATCGGGAAAATCCTGATGCTGGACACCCTGATAAGTTGGTGTACGTTTTTCAGTCGGGAAAATATATTTCAGCCGAAAATTCCCGGAAAGCTCTCATTCTCAGGGACAGGAAAGAGCCAATTCAGATCCATGGATGAGCTGAGATGTTTTGGAATTAGAAATCTTGATCTCCAACTGACATTCAACGGGTATTAGAAGCGTAAGTCTAAAAACCAGAGACTGAATAGAGTTAAACTGAAACGGACTAAGTGGCATTAACTGTGACCCGAGAGAAAACGGTTTAAAGTTCTATTCCTCCATTATACTCAATGTTAAAGACAAAACTTAACCATAATTTTCACGTTCAAAATGTTTTGAATCAACCTCGAATTGTTGGCAGGAGGAAATTAACGACTGGTTGAATTCAAATCTACTCCCAGCTTATTTTTTATTTATTTATTTTTTTTTTCGAAATGTGACTTGGATCGTATCTGTTAGAAATATACCCAAATTTTCACGAGAGATAATAGAAGCGGACTAAACAGAAAATGGAATAAAATGATACGCGATAAGGAATTCACCAAAACTAAGTTACTGGGTGAACTTGGTCGCCCTTCTGGCGTAAGGGCGTATCTGGATTTCTCCGTGAACCCTGTTTTGCATATGAATCCATGCTTTCCAGAGCTCATGCGTAAATCGAGATACGCCCTCACGCCAGAGGAGCAACAATTTGTTGATTTGCAGTTGAAAACTTATTGTTAATGAGGTGTATTCAACAGCTTTAGATATAAGATTTTGACATGAGATTACTCTTAACATAAGCTTAAGTAGTGGATTTACATTAATTCGCACTCGAGAAAAGTTTACCAATCCGTTTTGCCTGCGAAAAACGAAATTAGCGGTGGTGATTAATGAATGAATTCTTAAAATATCTGGGCTGAATAAAATATGCTTGACGAAAATAAATCATACGGAAACAAACGTAATTACGCCGGAAGCCATAAAAAAGCGTTCCTCGAGCAGACAAAATTGCTAACACCGGACCAACTGCTACTCCTATTTTATTATTATTTTATTATTTGATTTTCCTCGCGTACAAAAACTGGACGGGACACAAAATAGCCGCGAAGTGAATTATACCCTCTGCGAATGCCATATTCCGCGTTGAAGTACCTATTCTTCAAGGCAAATGGATGGAAAACAGCAATTTTCATCGGAATTTTGGCGACTGTTTTTGGATCGTATGAAAACCGGTTCGAGCCAGTAGGGGCGTCCCGCCAGCCAAGCGCAACAGCACCACACCGGGGGGATCGAGACGAACTCATGTTGACTAAAGGTTATAATTCTAGCATTTGTTGATAAACCTCGGAGTATCTAGTCAAACTAAATGGCGTGACCTCACGGTATATCGCTTCTTTGATAGTGAGACATCGAGAAGAAAAAATTAAAAATCCCCCTTCCAAAAAGTAAAAAAAAGGAGTAAAACATAAACATGCACTGATGAGAATTTATTAGAAATTCAGATCAGAGAAACACCTTTTGTGAGGGGATCAAAAGTGCTTTCTAAACTTGGCGTTTTTTTTACTTGGAGGAAGGCTCTCCCTATTTTCCGGCTCGAGGCCTACTTTTCAAATTGCGCGGAGGGGGGAAATCAGCTTGACGATGAGTAAAGTCGGAAAATGCGTACCTCCGATTTCGACGTTGTAAATCTTTGCGTATGTTTAATTTCAATAAAAGAAAACCATTCGGAATCTGTTCGTATTTGCTGTGAATTTTCTTCCCTCTTATAAAAAAAATTCAAGAAAAAATTTCACGGAAATGTTTTGGTTAGTTATTTTTTCAAAAAATAAAACATAATCGAAGATGTTGAAAAGTGGCAATATGGAGACACGGATGGTTAGATTTTAACCGACTATAAATTGCAGGAGCATAATTATCATTTGAGAGGACTTGTGTTGCTAAGTTAAAAATACTCAATTTATTTCTTCCTCAAAGGGTATGCTTCTAAAATAAATCGAATTATAGATCAGAGCAGGTTTCTTGAATTAATTTCACTATACGTTCAAGTCTCCTCAATTTATTTTAGTACCATCCTAATTAGGTGTAAACTAATTTTCCTGCAGAGAGGGGTTT